ACCAACAAAGATCAAACCAACAAAGATAAAAAAAGACAAAGAAAGGCATTACATAATGGTAAAGTACTGAATTCAATAAGAAGACCTAATTAGCCTAAATATACATGCACACAACACAGGAGCACCCAGATTCATAAGGCAAGTTCTTAGAAACCTACAAAGAGACATAGACTCTCACACAATAATAGTGGGAGATTTCAGCACTCCATAGTATTAGATCATTGAGGCAGAAAATTAACAAAGATATCTGGAACCTATACTCAATGCTGGACCAAATGGATATTATAGACCTTTACAGAACTCTCCACCAAAAACAACAGAATATACATTCTTCTTAGTGCCATATGGCACATACTCTAAAACTGACCACATAATTGGACATAAAACAATCCTCAACAAATGTAAAAGAACCAAAATCATACCAAACACACTCTTGGACCACAGCACAATAAATTGGAGTCAAGACTATGAAAATTGCTCAAAACCATGCAATTACATGGAAATTAAACAGCACACTCCTCAATGACTGTTGGGGTAAATAATGAAATTAAGTCAGAAATCAAAAAGTTGAAAATAACAACAAAGATACAACATACCAGAATCTCTGGAACACGGCTAAGGGAGAGTTAAGAGGGAAATTCATAGCAGCACTAAATGCCCACATCAAAAAGTTAGAAAGATCTCAAATTAACAATGTAACTTCAGAACCGAAAGAATTCAAGAAGCAAGAAGATATCAACCCCAAGGCTAGCAGAAGATGAGAAATAACAAAAATCAGAGCTGAAGTGAAGGAAATCAAGACATGAAAAACCAGTCAAAAGATAAATGAATCCAGGAGTTGTTTTTTTGAAAAAATTAGTAAAATAGACCACTAGACTAGTAAAGAAGAGTGAAGATCCGAATAAACACAATTAGAAATGACAAAGGGAGTGTTACTACTGACCCCACAGATATAAAAACAACCAGCAGAAACTACTATGAACACCTCTATGCACACAAACTAGAAAACCTAGAAGAGATAGACAAATTCCTAGACATGTACACCCTCCCAGGACTGAACGAGGAGGAAACTGAATCCCTACACAGACCAATAATGAGCTCCCAAATTGAATCAGTAATAAAAAGTCTACCAACCAAAAAAAGCCTGGGACCCAGTGGATTCACAGCCAAATTCTACCAGATGTACAAAGAAAAGCTGGTACCATTCTTACAGAAACTATTACAAAAAACTAAGGAGGGACTCCTCCCCACTCATTCTATGGAGCCAGCATCATCTTGATACCAAAACCTGGCAGAGAGACAACCAAAAAAGAAAACTTCAGGCCAATATCCTTGATGAACATTGATGCAAAAATCCTCAACAAAATATTTGCAAACCAAATCCAGGAGCACATCAAAAAGTGTATCTACCATGATCAAGTAGCATTCATTCCTGGGATGCAGGGTTGGTTCAACATACACAAATCAATAAATGCAATTTATCACATAAACAGAACTAAAGACAAAAACCACATGATTACTTCAATAGATGCAGAACAGGCTTTCAGTAAAATTCAACACCCTTCATGTTAAAAACTCTAAATAACATAGATATTGGAGGAACAGACCTCAAAATAATAAGAGCCATCTATGGCAAACCCACAGTAAACATTATACTAAATGGACAAAAGCTGGAAGCATTCCCCTTGAAAACTGTCACATGACAAGGATGCCCTCTCTCAACACTTCTCTTCAACATAGTATTGGAAGTCCTGCCAGAGCAATCAGGCAAGAGAAAGAAATAAAGGGCCTCCAAATAGTAAGTCAAACTATCTCTGTTTGCGGACGGCATAATTCTGTATCTAGAAGACCCCATAGTCTTGTCCCAAAAGCTCCTTTGGCAGATAAACAACTTCAGCAAAGTTGCAGGGTACAATATCAATGTACAAAAATTACTAGCATTCCTACACACCAACAACAGCCAAACCGAGAGCCAAATCAGAAAAGCAATCCCATTCCCACTTGCCATAAAAAGAATACCTAGGAATACAGCTAACCAGAGAGATGCAAGATCTCTACAATGAGAATTACAAAACACTGCTCAAAGAAATCAGAAAAAACACAAAGGGAAAAAACATCACATGCTCATTGATAGGAAGATTTATTAAAATGCCTATACTGCCCAAAGCTATTTACATATTCAATGCTATTCCTATCAAACTACCAATGACATTCTTCACAGAATTAGAAAAAAACTATTTAAAAATTCACATGGAACCACAAAAGAGCCTGAATAGCCAAGGCAATACTAAGCAAAAAGAACAAAGCTGGAGGCACACTGCCTGACTTCAAACTATACTACAAGTCTACAATAACCAAAAGAGCATGGTACAAAGACAGGTACTGTTACAGAAACAGGCACATAGACCAATGGAACAGAATAGAGGGCCCATAAATAAGGCGCACATCTACAACTGTCTGATCTTCAACAAACCTGACAAAAGCAACAGGAAAAGGCTCCCTCTTCAATAAATGGTGCTGGGATAACTGGCTAGCCATTTGCAGAAGATTGAAGCTGGACCTTTTCCTTCCACCTTATACAAAAACCAACTCAAGATGAATTAAAGACTTAAATGGAAAACCCAAAACTATAAAAACCCTGGAAGACAACCTAGGCAATACCATCTTGGACATAGGAATGGGCAAAGATTTCATGACAAAGGGAGAAATAGAAACTGCAACAAAAGCAAAAACTGACAAGTGGGATCTACTTAAATTAAAGAGCTTCTGCACAGCAAAATAAATGATTAGCAGAGTAAACAGACAACCTATAGAATGGGAGAAAATTTTTGCAAACTATGCATCTGATAAAGGTCAATATCCAGCTTCTATAAGGAACTTAAACAAATTTACAAGAGAAAACCCCATTAAAAGGTGGGCAAAGGACAAGAACAGACACTTCTCAAAAGAAGTCATACATGTGGCCAACAAGTATGAAAAAAAGCTCAATATCACTGATCAACAGATAAATGCACATCAAAACCACAATTAAATACCACCTCACACCAGTCAGAATGGCTATTACTAAAAAGTCAAAAAGTGAAGTTGCAGAGAAAACGGAACACTTACACACTGCTGGTGGGAGTGTAAATTAGTTCAACCATTGTGCAAAGCAGTATGGTGATTCTCAAAGAGGTAAAAGCAGAACTACCATTGGACCCAGCAATCTCATTACTGGAATTATACCCAGAGGAATATAAATCATTCTACCATGAAGACACATGCACACAAATGTTCACTGCAGCACTAGTCACAATAGCAAGGACATGGAATCAAGTAATGCCCATCAATGACAGATTGGATAAAGAAAATTTGGTACATATACACCATGGAATACTATGTAGTCATAAAAAAGAACGAGATCATGTCTTTTGTGGGAACATGGATGGAGCTGGAGGCAGTTATCTTTAGCAAACTAATGTAGGAACACAAAACCGAATACTGCTTGTTTTCACTCATAAGTGGGAGCTAAATGATAAGAACTTATAGAACACAAAGAAGGAAACAAAAGACACTGGGGTCTACTTAAAGTGGGGAAGGCAGAAAAAGGGAGAGGAGCAGAAGAGATAACTATTGAGTACTGGGCCTAATACCTAGGTGATTAAATATATGTCAACAAACCCTCATGACACCTGTTTACCTACGCAACCTTCACATGTACCCTCAAACCTAAAAAAAATTAAAACAAAACAAAATGGCTGGCTAGAATATGGAGAGTCATCTGTTTCATGAAACCATTTTCCTTCTATTTTCTTAATATGTGAATACAATATAGAGATCAAATCTACAACAATTAGGAAATCCTGATACCTAGGTGGTTATTCTTCCATTTATTTTCTTCAAAATCCCTTTAAAATGCACCAAATTGGAAATAACACTCTAATAACAGGCTAATTACTGGTAAGTCTATAAAGATGACTTCCTAACTTGTTAATTTAATAACTTCCATTAATAAATCCCAGTTATGCCATCACTGATGGCCCTTGAATATGAAAATGACCTGACCATATAACAAACTACCTCACAGATGACATCTTAAAACTCTGTAATCACTATGCCACATATTTGCCTCTCAAACATGTTAGAGGACATATCAAGGTCACTTTCAGTCTATTCCTGTTAAGTGTTACTAACTTAATCCAAAATGTATTATCTGTGTATATAATGAAAGTGGTTCCTAATTTCATTATCCAAGTCATGGTTAAATTATTAAATATTGTTCTAATTATTAAGCAGAGTCCAATGGACTATCACTTATTACCCTTTTAGGTCAATACAGAACCAAAAAGTAACCAATATTTATAGAATGTACAAAGGGCTTTCATGAACACTGGTATTTGAACTTTCACTTATTCAACAGATATTTAAGGCACCGCATGCTAATTCTATGCCAAGCATTGGCTAGACACTGGAGTTACGGTGATCCTTACAAGTTCCCAGGTAAATTTTTGTTAAAACTGCGAATTCTCAGGCCTCACTCCAGACCTATTAAATCAGAAATTCTGGGGATGGGCCCCAGCAATCTGATTTAACAAGGCCTCCCAGAGATTCTGATACATGCTCAAGTTTGAGAACCACTGCCCTGTAAAATAGAGCCTTACTTTATATATTAGAAAACCGAGGTTCAGAGAATAAAAGACGAGATACGAAAGATACTTTTTTAAAACAGCTTTTTCTAAGAGCTCAGAAAAGTATCTGACATATAATATAGGCACCTGATAAAACTGGTTGAAGAAATTAATGTTCCAAAGAGTTGTGCCATCACCCAATTATGGCGATAGACAAGCATATCATCCTAATATGTTAGAAATGCATATACTGCTAATGAACATATTTCTTCTGAAAAGACAAATGTTCAGCATGACAACAAGAATTATAATTTAAGTATTATTTTTGACATGTTCATAAAAGAAGTAGTTACCAAAAGGGATCACTACAAAAGCTATTCAGTTTTTCCATACCTTGTTATTTTGCCTTAATTTACTTAACTCCAGTTTATACTTTTCTGCTTCTTCTAGAGCTCTATTCAAGCGAACCTCTGTGGCACTTTGACTACTTGCAGCCTGTTTTTGCAGTCTTCTTTTATTTTCTAATTCCTGTATAGTAAAAAAGATTATGGAACATTTATAAATGTATCATAGGTTCCCCCTTGATCATTTTGCAGTATCTTCCATATCCATATTCCTTGCTTTCTCTCAAACTTTACACACACACACACACACGCGCATGCACGCACACGCGGGGCTAGAGGCTGAACACTAAGTGTTAGAGGTCTCAAGGAATTCTTGCCCCAAATTAGTATTAGAGAAATATATCCTAAAAAATGTACCTGTGAACTGGGCTTTCAAATTACTTTTTGTTTGGAATTTTGTCTCTCTTTATTGACTCAAGACACAGTATACCTGTCCTCTATTTTATAAACAACTCTTTATAACTGTATTTCTTCTTCTGGGAACCTCCCAAAAAGACCAATGTTAAGAGAAACTCTCCACTGTTTTTCTGTATACCTGACAAAGTAAATCATTTAAGAATATATTCATCACAACATTCTGTATAGCCCTATAGGAAAATCCCAATTCTGAGTAGAAACAACAGATCTTATAGATTATTTTCCACATCCTGGGGTGAGTTTAGTCTTATATTTCTGCAAACATCCTAGGATATTGTTGCAGAGAGTCAACAGGCCAACACCTGAAGAAACACGAACGTAGAGGATAAACTGTGAACTCCACCATAATCTTTCCCCTGTCAACCAGCTTCATCTCCTGCCAAAGATGTTACTTTTAGTAATACGAGCAGTAATTGGATCTCTCCCAAACAGCCATGGTGTTTCCTGCCTCAGTCTTTTGCTTGTGCTCTTCCTCCTGCCCTGATCTCTGCCCACTCATTTTCACGTAACTAGCACCTACTGACTCAGCTAGGTTTGTACCCTAGGGCATTAGCTCCCCCAAGACATATTTCCTTTCTAATCTTCACTATCCACCCAGATTATATTAAGTGCCTTCTTCAAAGCTTGTATAGCACCTTAAGACACATTTATCATCGTATCTGCTACGTGGTACTGAAACTATCCCTTAACTTTATTTCCCCCACTATAGTTTAAGCTCCTTGAAGAAAAGAACTGTCTTAATTTCTGTATACTCAGCACTTCAGTGGGATATAAAAGACACTAACACACATGTTAATTAAACTGAACTTATTTTGTAATACTAAACTCACTCTTCTTTATATCCCCTACAAAGTAACGCCTAGTCCAGAGCCTTACTCAATAAATTGAGCAGATACTCAATATATTATAGAGTTGAAATGATGCAGTTAAAAATAGAGTTGTCTATTTTTTTATAATTTTTTTCTGGCTATATCACTATATTTTATTTAAAAACTAGTCTCCCTGGCTCTGAGTAATTAAGGGGAAAAACAAAACAAAACACATGCTGCTCTTTATGTAGGTTTCTAAACAAATCAAACTGTGTATGGATACCATCTGCTATCACAGCCTTCTTCACAGCTTTGTGGGTGGTAGCAACAGGAAGAGCTAGCCTGATTTATCTCACTGTTCACATAGAAAAGGCAAAGATTCTCATTAGCTACAAAGTCCACATTTCTTGCTGCCTCATTTCAGTCTTCCTTCTTAAGAATATAGAACTGAATCTTTCCTCTTGCCTGCTGATGACTCTGTAACCTATTTCACAGAAAAATGAAAACCATCCTGTACCATATGATGTCCCCTATCCCTGAACCAATACTGCCCTCTTCTTGGGAGGTGTGGGGAAAAAATGGTACCCAGAAGAATAGTAAAGTAGGAAATAAAGTTTTTCTATATGAGTAATCCACTAAACAAATTTCTAGTGTTATAAAAATTTAAGCAGTTACATGTCGCTAGACAAAAATTTCATGACAAATCTGAAATCCTGAGTTGCACATTAGTTTAAAAAAAAAAAAAACTAAGAAAATCAAATTTAACATTAAAATTAAAATACTGTTAGCTTCAGGAGGAAATGATGTACCACTCTCTCATGATTATTAAAGCATTCATAAAAGGCACTGGGGGAGAGTAAGAAAAGAGAGGGGCATGCATCAGCCACAGCAGAAGACAAATGTAATAAATGCTCTGGGAATAACACAAAGCACCACAGAAATTCAGATAAGAAATAATCAGATGAGGATAAATCATCAGATAAGGTTTCAGAAATAAGGGGCTAAGGTAGAAAAGAATGGACTTGGAGTCAGAAAACCTGCCAGCTGTGGTAGACTTATTTCCATATCTGAAATTGTGAGTAATATTATCTATACCTAATAGGTTTCATTCATTTATTCAACACATTTATTAAGCACTTACTACATGCAGGATACTATTCTATATCATGGGCACACAAATTAACCAAATTTCCTCCTCTCATGACGTTTGCATTCTAGAGGAAGAGACAGAAGATGAACACATATTTACACATACATATATGCAATATCTGGTAGTGATAAGGGCTATGAACAAAAAAAAGGGTAAAGGGACAGAACAATGAAGGGAGGGTATAACTATTTAAAATAAAGTAGTCAGGGAAGTCTTCCAAATGAAGTGAGGTAATGATTTAAGTTAAAATCTTGGGGAGGCCAGGCACGGTGACTCACCCCTGTAGTCCTAGTACTTTGGGAGGCCAATGTGGGAGGATGAACCCAGGAGTTCGAGACCAGCCTAGGCATCATAGGGAGACCTTGTCTCTATAAAAAAATTTAAAAATTAGCTGGGCATTGTGGCATATGTATGTGGTCCTAGCTGCTTAGAAGACTGAGGCAGAAGGATTGCTTGAGCCGGGGAGGTGAAGGCCGTAGTAAGCCATGATTGCACCACTCCAGCCTGAGCAGAGTGAGATCCTCTCTCTAAAAAAAAAATACAATAATCAAATAAGGATCTCGGGGAAAGAATTCCAGATAATAAGAACAATAAAGACAAAGATCCTGTAGTAGGAATCCACTTGATACATTAAAAAATCACCTAGAAGGTCAGTGTGGTTTCAGCTGAGTGACATAGGCACAGCGTTAGGTTTTGAGGTAAGAGAAGTGGGCAGGGCAAGCCTAGGTGAACCTTGTAAGCTTTACTTATAAATTTGGATTTTATTGAGTGACACGGGAAGCCTTTGGAGGATTTTAAGTGTGTATGCATATGTGTATGTGTGTGATGATCTGAGTTAATTTTTTTTTTTTTTTTCGAGATGGAGTCTCACTCTGTCACTCAGGCTGGAGTGCAGTGGTACAATCTCTGCTCTCTGCAAGCTCCGCTTTCCGGGTTCATGCCATTATCCTGCCTCAGCCTCCCAAGCAGCTGGGACTACAGGCACCCGCCACCATGCCGGCTAATTTTTTGTACTTTTAGTAGAGACGGGGTTTCACCAGGTTAGCCAGGATGGGCTCAATCTCCTGGCCTTGTGATCCGCCCACCTCGGCCTCCCTAAGTGCTGAGATTACAGGCGTAAGCCACCGCACCCGGCTCTGACTTAAATTTTATAGGGATTGCTCTGGCCACTGTGGTATTGCCAATCTAGGAGGTTATTATAATAGTTTAAATAAAAGACAGTGGCTTGGGCTTGGGTAGAAGTAATTAATGTTTTCAGAAGTGGTTTATTCTATGGATTTTGAAGACAGAATTGACAGGATTTGTTGGTGAGCTGGATCTGGATATAGGAAAAGAGATAGATAAGATGACTCTTCAATTTTAGACTGAACAACTGGGTGATGCCTTTTACTAAGAGAGGGAGAAGGAAGAGAAGCAGGTTTGCTAAGGGCAGGGAAGCAAGAGCTTCCTTTAGGACATGTGAAGTTTAACACACAATAGAGATATCAAGTGGGCAGAAAGGAAGAGGTAAGGGCAAGAAACGGAAATGTGAGTATGAATAACATATATATATAGATGGTATATAAAGTCATGGAACTGAATGAGATCATCTAAGGATTAGATATAAAGAGACTTGAGCACTCTACTATGTAAGGCCAGGAAAATGAGGGAGAATCATGACTATGGTGCTCTAGAAGCCAAATGAATAGTGTTTCAAGGAAGAAGTAATCAACTATTTCAAATATTGCTGAGATATAAATTCATGTCAAGAATAACTGACCAAGTACAATGGACCACAACTGCAATGTGGATTATTGGTGATCTTTTTAAGAGTAGTTTCAATGGCAGGGTAGAGATGGAAGCCTAAGCAAAGTATTTTCAGGAGAAAATGGCACATGAGGTATAGAGACATTGAGTATAAACAATAATTTTGGGAAGCTTCGCTATAAAGGGGAGCAATGATATAGGACTGGAGGTAGATGTAAGATCTAAAGAAGTTTTAAAATAAATAAATATATGAATGATTCTATGAAATGTTTGTACACTAATGAGTATAATCTGATAAGAATAAATTTGATTTTGCAAGAGAAAGGACAATTGCCAGTGCGAAGTCCTTGAGGAGAAGAGAGTATATGGTATTCAGTGCACAAGTGAAGGGGCCAGCTTTAGACAGAAGAGGTACTAATTCACTGTAACTGGAGTGGGGAGTGGTACAGAGGCAGCGAGGTTGTAAATTTAGTGAAAGGATGATCTTTTGATTGTTTCCTTAATGAAAAAGGAATCTGAGTCATGAGTCAAGAATAAGGATGTTGGAAGGGGTGTTAGAAAGTTGAGGAAAAAAGACCAACTGTTTAATAATCATCTCCAAAAATGGGAGAGGGAATCGACTTCTCAGAAAATGAGGGTAGAAAATGCATTATTCTTGAGATTTGTAAATAAATTTAAAGTAGGACTGATTAAGAAAAAATGACAGAAGAGACAAATTATCAGTATCAGAAATGAAAGAGGGGCCATTATTACACATCATACAGGTATTATAAATATAATAAATATAATAAAGGAATATTATGGACAAATTTATGCCAGTAACTCTGACTTAGATGAAGTGGACAAATATCATGAAAAACATAAATTAGCAAAGCTGACTCAAAAAGCAGCAGAAAATCAGAATAGACTTGTATCCATTAAATAAACTGAATTGGTAATTGAAATCCTTCCAAAAGAAAACTCCAGTGCACGTGGCTTTCCTAATGAATTGTATCAAATGTA